ACTGTTGTTGTGTCCTTAGGCAAGACACTTCATCTACAATACAATTTATTCTTGTATTTCCCTAAATCACAACAGTATCATCTCAGAGGACTTAACTAAATCACCAACACAGATCAGAGAATCAACAGTTACAGTTTTTCTCAGTCGCTTTGGTGCATTTCTCACATCAGACTTAAAGTTCTCAAAACTATTAGTTCAACCTCCAGAACATTGAGTCATTGGTGCACATCATCATGGCAGTTTCTCGTTCCTATGAACAATTTACAAATGCTTTTGGACATGTATCAGTTACTTTCATACAATTCTCTGCTGTTTTATAACATTCTCATTTGCTTCTGTCCTGTCAGTCAAAATGAAACATACTTATCACTTCTGAATAGTCATTCCCTATAAAACTAATTGTCCTTATTTCCTCGCTTGAGTCATCACATATAAAACTGTTGAACTAGTTCTCAAAATCAAAATGCTAATTTCATACATTCCTTTAATTATTTTTCCCTGAAAATCTTTCCAGATTCAAATTCAGCTTTCACTTATGAGGAAGTGTGTTTATATTTGTCACAGTTCTACCATAATGGTATTGTCTATGTTTGTTCTACAGTACGTAAATACTGTAAGTGACTGTATTTTTGTTGCACAATGCTGTAGAATTGCAAAGAGCATATGCAGTAAATATGTGAAATACATACAGTACATACAGTACATACAGTACATACATACTTACATATGTGTCTTGTACTCAGTTACGTCTCTAAATAAAGTCATGTAACTTTACTGTAGTTTTCTGCTGTAAAGTGTTTAGTGCTCACCGAGTATAACCGAGATCTGACTTTTTAACACTGAAAACACAGAGAGTAAACTTTCACAATGAAAACATGACTAAGTCATTTGACGGTGTTGTTCATACTCAATGTTGTCAGGACTTATTATTTCGAGACACAGACAGTTTCATTGACATGCTACAGTAGTACCGTCCATGACGTGAATGAATAATAACATGTTAAACGTCTTTGAGAGTCGTGAAAAGCACTGTATAAAACCAATGCATTATTATTATTATGAAAATGTAGTTTTTCTTGTTTTATTTAAGCCGAAATTATGGGAACTTTTTTTATCATCAGAGATTTGAAACAGGACGTTCCAAAAGACAGCTTATCTCTTCACACACACACACACACACACACACACACACACACACACACACACACACACACACACACACACACACACACACACACCACAGATCAGGTATTTTTCAGACGAGAGTAACAGGAGGATGCTGTCGCCGAGCGCTGGGATTGAATCAGCACAAAGTGATAACAAGACCTGTGTTTCTGACTGTTCTGAGCCGAGAAAGAAATCACAGGCAACAAATAAACCACGTAATGGGATTCCCAAGTGTATAACAGAAACTCCACTCCCCACCTGGTCTAGCCTCAGTCCTGGATCTATAGCCTCAGTCCTGGATCTACAGCCTAAGTCCTGGATCTACAGCCTCAGTTCTGGGTCTACAGCCTCAGTCCTGGGTCTACAGCCTGAGTCCATCTAACGTGTACATGTGGTGGGGGAAACGGAGCACGTGGAGGAAACTTTGAAGTATGGTATCAAATGTTCAAATTGTAGAGAAAAGAGCAAAAGCTGTCATTGCTTTTAGATCAAACACATTCAAAACAACAAGAGAGAGAGAGAGATACACCAAAGTGTTAGCAGTGAGAGATACTAGAGAGAGAGACCAAAGATAGAGCAGAGAGAGAACTAAGAAAGAATGGAGAGAGACCGAAGAGCAAGACCAGAGAGAGAAAGGTGAGGGAGATCAAGAAAGACAAGAGAGGCAGAGACTAGAGAGAGACCAGAGAGAGACTAGAGAGAGACCAGAGAGAGACTAGAGAGAGACCAGAGAGAGACTAGAGAGAGACTAGAGAGAGACTAGAGAGAGACCAGAGAGAGGCCAGAGAGATACCAGATAGAGACTAAAGAAAGAACTCAGAGAGACCAGAGAGAGAGAGACCAGAGAGAGACCAGAGTGGGAGAAAGTTCAAAATGTAGTAACAAGATCTGTCACTTCTTTAAGCCCAAACACAGATATCTCGGTGCTCGACATTACTCTGGAGCAGGTTTTTCTAAATACATATCGATTGTGAGAATTGTACCTGGGACAGAGACAGGAGGTGGTGTGGCGCCTGTTTTGAGCTGCGGGTCTTCGGTGTGATTGTGGAGAGTGAGGAGGTCAGGGATGTAATCAGAGAGGCCTGACCCGGGCCACGGCTCCCGCACTCCAGGGGCCACGCCGACAAATGACTTTACTGCTCCAGGAATGAGACCGGCCAAGTTCTCCTTAAACTTATCAAAAGTGCAGACGACAGACAGACAGACAGACAGACAGACAGACAGACAGAGAGACAGAGAGACAGACGGATGGACAGACAGACAGGTAGACAGACAGAGAGACAGATGGACAGACAGACAGACAGATAGACAGGCAGACAGACAGACAGACAGACAGATAGACAGGCAGACAGACAGACAGACAGACGGACAGACAGACAGACAGACAGACAGACAGATGGACAGACAGACAGTCAGACAGACGGACAGACAAACAGACAGAGAGACTGACAGGCAGACAGACGGACAGGCAGACAGATAGACAGAGAGACTGACAGGCAGACAGACGGACAAACAGACAGACAGACAGACAGAGAGACGGACAGATTGACAGACAGACCAACGGACATGGAGTCCAGGGTTTCAGACTGGGACTAGTCCTCAGGGTTTTTTGTCCCAACATCAGAATCAGAATCATTTTTATTGCCACGTAAGTAACAGGAAGTCACAGACTAGGAAATTGCTTTGGCTCAGTGCAACAGTCAGAAAGAGATAATAAAAATAAAGAATAAAAAACACTCCTAAGGAATACATTTAAATTTAAAATAGAGTTACAGTTACTATTTACAATATACAAGTGCACATGGTGCACTTGTATATTGTGCACATTCATGGTACAGAGCTGTGGATGTGACCAGTTTAAAATGGATGGTTTTAAATACTGTATATACATGTTCTGAGTCTGGATGTGCTTTCGCCTGTGTCCAGTCCCTGCTCCGGTCCCTGATACGGTCCCTAGTCCGGTCCCTGGTCCGGTCCCTGGTCCTGTCCCTGGTCCGATCCCTGGTCCGCTCCCTGGTCCGGTCCCTGGTCCTGACCCTGGTCCGGTACCTGGTCCGGTCCGTGTCCCTGGTCCTCCCCTGGTCTGGCCCTGGTCCGGTCCCTGTGCTCAGCCTGCAGTTCCAGTGGAGCAGCTCTCTGCAGAGTGGATATCCTTCACTCAGTCGAGCATGAGCACTATTAGGAACTCACTTCACGCTTCTGTGATTCTCACATCCTCTCCCTGCTCCTCAGGACTGAAGCAGGTCTATACCAGGACTAAACCAGGACTAAACCAGGACTAGACCAGGACTAAACCAGGACTAGACCTGGACTAAACCAAGACTAAACCAGGACTAAACCAGGACTAGACCAGGACTAAACCAGGACTAAACCAGGACTAAACCAAGACAAAACCAAGACTAAACCAGGACTTAAGCAGGTCTAAACCAGGACTAGACCAGGTCTAAACCAAGACTAAACCAGGTCTCATCCAAGTCTAAACCAGCACCAAACCAGGACTAAAGCATGACTTAAGTAGGACAAACCAGGACTAAAGCAGGAGTGAAGCAGTACCACAGACGGACTGGGAACCAGAGGAGGCTTTGGTCTGAGACTAAACGCAGAAGAGCACAGGCACTGATCATCTGAGGTCTATGACAGTTTTGAAAACGTATTCTAGATTGTGATTAGTTCGATTGAAAGTCGTGAGAAAAGTGGGAAATTTTGCACATGCCACATTTAAAAAGATTCTTGAACATGCTATAGCATATTTCAAACAATGTACACATTTTTTTAGAATTAAAAACGTATCTTAACCCTTTAGGCGCCACAGCAGCTCTCAAGCAAGCTCCTAAATCCAGGACACTTTATATACAGTGACTTGGCTTCCCACGAATCTCCATATCATCTCCTATATACATCACATCCTGTCTATTCACAGGGTGTCACCATTTGTCTTTTTCACAATTAGGCTTAGAGTTATGTCTCAAATATTTAAAGAATATGGAAAGTGTTTGTTTTTGTACGTCTGTTAAATACGGTACTATCTTAAAATCTGTTCAAACCGACACTATGGAATAGTAGAGGCTCCGACTCTCACTGCTTCTGCCTTTTCCTCGCTTTGATGGAGATTCATGTATTGTTGGAACCAAAACTTTGTTGGCGTGATGACCAAAATAAAACTCAATGACGTCATGGAAACAACAGCAATAACGACACAACATCCATTTTCTCGCTCAGCTCTCGCCGCATCTGCAGCCGGCTGTAATCACCGGCTCGACGTGACTCAGCCGCCGCCATCAGAGAGGAGCGTTTATCCGTAATGACCCCGAGCCTCTTCAGACCCGGCACATACACACACACACACACACACACACACACACACACACACACACACACACACAAACGGGCAGGATTTGGGTACGTGCTAATGGCCGGAGGAGACAAAGCCGTTTCACTGGAGACGATTGTGTTAAAGGCTTTTCTTTGGAAATCTTTGGTCTTTGCTCCGTTCGTCGTCGTGACTCTGACACAGATGTTGTTTTGAGATTTATTTTTCTATCTGTTTTATTTTTCTTGACTTTGTTGTAAATGTAATTGTTATTGCAGAACAGACCCTTCACTACTCGACTCTACCCCATTCTACTCTACTCTACTCTACTCTACTCTACTTTTTCACTGATCCAGACCAGAGCAGAGAGGATTCACGTCTGAAATCAAGCAGATCAAGAATGAACCCACTGGAGGAATGCCTTTTTTGTGTGGTTGAAAAATGCTGATAAAGTATCCAGAATTTCACTCTGAACCAGAGCAGGGAACATGCAAACATCAACCAGAGGAAGCGGCTGCACCACCTACGGCTGCACAACCTGCTGCTGCTCCACCTGCTGCTGCACCACCTGCTGCTGCATCACCTGCTGCTGCTCCACCTGCTGCTGCACCACCTGCTGCTGCACCACCCGCTGCTGCACCACCCGCGGCTGCACCACCCGCGGCTGCACCACCCGCGGCTGCACCACCCGCAGCTGCACCACCCGCAGCTGCACCACCCGCTGCTGCTCCACCCGCTGCTGCACCACCCGCGGCTGCACCACCTGCGGCTGCACCACCTGCGGCTGCACCACCTGCGGCTGCACCACCTGCGGCTGCACCACCTGCGTCTGCACCACCTGCAGCTGCACCACCTGCTGCTGCTCCACCTGCTGCTGAGACCAAATGTTCTGTTGCTGTTCACTGCTGTTGATAATAACTTTAGAATTATGTATATTTGCGTTTTGTTTGTTTGTTTGGATGTGTTTCTGCTGCTGCTGGACACGGGGTCAATAAAGTATCTATTTCTGCTTCTTTCTACTATAATAATTATAATAATAACAAAATGTGTATCTTAATTAAAGTTTATCCTCTGCACTTGACCCATCCTTTGTTGCCGCTTTCCCAGAATCAGAGCTGGAAGTTATTTGCCTTTTTGTGGCCATACCTACATGTGAAAGCCAGAGGCCGACACATCTCTGAGGCAAAGCAGGGCAGGGCCTGGTTAGTACTGTGATGGGAGACCTCTGGGAACACCAGGTGCCACACTGGTGCGGCTGCAGCTGTAAACTATTGTGTGCTTAGGCAAGACACTTCACCTACATTAGAATGAGTCTGGTGTGTGTGTGAATGGTTGGCGGGGGTTGGAGGGGCCAATGGCAAATACTGGTTTCCTAGTGGCTACAGTAGTTTATCACCACTGGGTTTGGAGTGAAAGAATAATGACATGTGAAGCGTCTTTGAGTATCCAAAAAAGATCTTTATAAAACAATGTATTATCATTGTCCATGTTTTAGTGGTTGAGGAAACTGGAGTGCCCAGAGGAAACCTTTGCAGACACGAGGAGAACATGCAAACTCCAATCAAAAAGACCCGTTTCGAAACTTATTTGCTGTATTTGCAACTTATACCAATATCTGTCTCCAAAACATTTCAAACCAATGACCAAACGTTTTTCTTTTTTCACTCAGTATTTTATATGTTTATGTTCAATAAGAGCTAAAATGGCTAACGGCCGCAAGTAAACAGTGTGTTGCCATGGTAACTCATGACCAGAACCAGCCCAGAACCAACATTGGATAAAAGTGGGGTTAATGAAAAATAGAAATAGGCAACATTTGATTTTTTTGAGTTAAAGATAGAAATACAAACATTTCAAAAGTAAAAAAATATGAATTACAAACAATAGAAATAAACCAAATACAGAAACAGAAAAATTCACAAAGCCAATGAAAACCAAGTGAAGTTATGTACACACCCTGAGTAAAAGCAGTCAAAGCAGTCTGATTTATTAGGCCTGATGTTCTGAACTATAAAAATGTTTTTTTTTAACGACAAAGAAACCAAACTTGTCCTCAGACACTTTCACAAACTTCAGATAAAAACATTTCCAAACAGTTCTTTGTGTTTTCCCAGTGCAGATGTGAACCGATGTCATAGATCCATGAACCCACACACGTGATCCTCGCGCGGTGCCACAGTGCCCTCCGGTGGCGACAGAAGGAACAGTCAGGGCGTCAGACGGTGAGACAAGGAAGGATGCAAAATACAGGAATGCTAAAAATGAATACAAATAATTAACATAAAAAAATTAAGGTCCAAGATAAAAACACATAAAAAGCAGGAGAATAAACAGACATAGACAGAAAGTAAAATGAAATCACTGAGAACGAATGTCAAAAATAAGACCAATAAATGAACCATCAACAACATGACACAGGGCGCCTCATTCTTCATCGGTGGAAGCAGTGGTCCCCAAACATTTCCTCCAGGAGAGATCCAAATGACTGGCTCTTCCTTTAGGCAGGTACGAGAAAGCCGACGTACTGAAGTAAGTAAGACCTCAAAACTAAATGTCCAATTGGAAATTATTGTTTTACGACAGTAGAAAATGGATGGATGAATGTTTTACGACTGTCAACGTGTTCAAAATTAAGATACATAAACCAAATCTGAGCCATGTCTAACCTGAATTCTTGTCTTGTTCTCCCTTACAGCACGATCAACAATCCTTACACTGTCGCACAGAGAATATATTTTTAAATCCTGGTGTTGACTTTCAGGGCTCCTTCACTAAGAACCTGTTGATGGTCCTTCACTCAGAACCTGTTGATGGTCCCTCGCACTCGTTATAAAACCAGAGGAGACAGATCCTTCCAGGCTGTTGCTCCTTCGCCTTTGGAATGAGCTTCCCCAGTCTGCGCATCTTAGAGTCAGTGGAAAACTTCAAGTCACAACTTAAGACCTACACTGTTTACTTGTTTTTAGAACTGACTTGTATTTGATTTTTTTAATTGTGAAATGCTTTGTGATCCGGGTCTATGAAAGGCGTTATATAAATAAACTTGACTTACTTAATCTATTAGAATGTATTGTAATGTTGTGTAGTGTAGAATTATACCGCATGTTTGTCCATTCTAAATCCTTTGCTACATGGAAATAAAACCGATTCATGAGTACGTTTTTTTGTCTCGCTGTCTTCACACTGTTACTTAAGTGTTGTAACTTAAAGAGATTGGTCAGAGTGATGGTTGAAGCCGCGATTTCCCCAGATTTGTCGACCGTAAAGCGTGATTGAAATGCAACCAGGTAGAGTGGAGCCGAGCAGAGTATAGGGCCGGGGAAAATAGGGCTTATTTGTTCATCTCAAGTATCAGCAATATTGGTAATTCATTCATTCACTCTCATCCGGAGAGAGGAGAGGAGGCGAGGAGAGGAAAGGGGAGAGGAAAGGGGAGAGAGGAGAGAGGGGAGAGGAAAGGGGAGAGAGGAGAGGAGAGAGGGGAAAGGAAAGGGGAGAGGAGAGGGGAGAGAGGAGAGAGGGGAGAGGAGGAGAGAAAATGTTATCAGGACATATCATTAATTTGACATTTTTTATTTTCTCCTTGTGGATCAAGTGTTTTGAATCAATTTTAACAATTGTTCCAGAAATGCATATATGGCATCATCCAGGAAAAGAAACAAAAAACAGGAAAAATCATACAAATAAAAAAGCAAAACGAAAACAAGAAAATCCATAGTTCACTTTCACATGTTTCGTTTCTTGACAGTAAAAAACACATGGATGCTGGTTCGAAGTCATTTGTCCAAAGCGACTTTTAAAGAGGGATTCTGACATCAGAGAGGCGTAAAGAGAGAGGTCTCTGCCGGCGGTGAGGAGGTCTCTGGCTCCAGTCTCTTTCGTGGAGTGAGAGGCACAAGACAAGGTTGTCCTCTCTCCCCCACAGACTGTAACATGCACTGCAGGCTGAGCTCCAAGAATGGAAATTACTAGAAAAAAAAAGCACGAGTGGCCTTGGTCTGTGCACTGCGCCATACAAATAAAGAAAAAAAGTTTATGACATCACAGGAAATACAGAGGACATCTTTGTCTTTACTTTGGACGATAGAGAAGAAGGAGCGTTTGGCACCGGAGGACAGGGACTCAATGATGTAGAGACAATGCATAGACTGTATACTGTACATATGGACAATGCTAACATGCTAGCTCAATGACGCCCAACAAGGAAACTCTTTGAGCTGAGTGACCGATTCTGTCCCACTCACCATTTTGGGTTTGAAAAAATCTCTGGTTTATCGCTCTCTGTGATCCTGGTGTTTATACTGTCATATTGTCTTCATAAATGCCAGATTTGAACCATATAAAGATTGACCAATCAAATTAATTCACGGGGAAACCATCAGCTTTCCTTAGCAACCATCTTAGCAACCGTCTTTGTTGATCTCTTCAGGGACTGGGAGCCTGTGGTGTTGGGACGCTCGGTGGGTCACACGTAGATGCCCTCTGGGTTCAGGCCGACGGGGGTCTGGAGGCTCCGCAGGTCTGGGGGTAAGAGCCGAGACGAGGCCGTGGGTTGGATAGAGCCGCACTCTACACCTGCAATAGAGATGATAATATGATTTATTTAAAAAGAAAAACATGAAAAATCTATGTATGATACAAAAAAGTGAGATACTTTGAGATGCTTTCGTGCATGGACTAAAAATGCATAAGTAGTATAGTAGAGTAGACTAAAAGTAGAGTAGAGTAGGTTAGGTTAGGGTAGGGTAGAGTAGAGTAGAGTAGAGTAGAGTAGAGTAGAGTAGAGTAGAGTAGAGTAGAGTAGAGTAGAGTAGAGTAGGTTGGAGTAGAGTAGAGTAGAGTAGGTTGGAGTAGAGTAGAGTAGAGTAGGGTGGAATAGAGTAGAGTAGAGTAGAGTAGGGTAGAGTAGAGTATGGTAGAGTAGAGTAGAGTAGGTTGGAGTAGAGTAGAGTAGGGTGGAATAGAGTAGAGTAGGGTAGAGTAGAGTAGAGTAGGGTAGAGTATGGTAGAGTAGAGTAGAGTAGAGTAGAGTAGGTTGGAGTAGAGTAGAGTAGGGTGGAATAGAGTAGAGTAGGGTAGAGTAGAGTAGAGTAGGTTGGAGTAGAGTAGAGTAGGTTGGAGTAGAGTAGAGTAGGGTAGAGTAGAGTAGGGTGGAGTAGAGTAGAGTAGAGTAGAGTCGGTTGGAGTAGAGTAGAGTAGGGTAGGTTTGAGTAGAGTAGAGTAGAGTAGAGTAGGGTGGAGTAAAGATGGATAGAGTAGAGTAAGGTAGAGTAGAGTAGGGTAGGGTAGAGTAGGTTTGAGTACAGCACGGTAGAGTAGCGCGTCAGGGAGAGCAGTACTTGCCGTTGCCTGCCTCCGGTGCACTCTGAGCGGGTAGCACCGTCACCTTGGTCCCCGTCTGTTGGATGAACTGCTGGAGGTTCACCTGCCGCAGCTCTTTGGTCAACTGCTCCAGCTCCTGCTCCTTCTCCTGAGGCCAGAGGAAAGCAGGTCAGGAAGACCACACAGAGCAGATCCACACAGAGCAGATCCACACAGAGCTGATCCACACAGAGCAGATCCACACAGAGCTGATCCACACAGAGCAGATCTACACAGAGCAGATCCACACAGAGCAGATCTACACAGAGCAGATCCACAGAGCAGATCCACACAGAGCTGATCCACACAGAGCAGATCCACACAGAGCTGATCCACACAGAGCAGATCTACACAGAGCAGCCTGTACTACTGAGACCAAGGTTTCCTCGCCTTAAAGCTCAGGTACATAACTTTTAAAACCACTAAAAAAATAACTTGACTCTTTTTGAATCCCTGTGATTATTGATGATTGGAATGTTATCTTCTTTTCTAGTTTGTCCAGTTGTTGTGGCTCTAGTGCTGCGGGATAAAATAGATTCTGTTCAGTATCGCAATATTTTGAGCTCATAATTAAATTGATCGAGGAAAGTCAAAGTATTGGAAAGTATTCCAGGTATATAGACGGATTTTATTTTTCTGGTTGGATCTCCAAGACTAATGGTCCTCCTAACTGTCAATCATTCTGGTGATGCGTGACTAGAGGCTGAGGCTGTCGTACGTCCTCTTCACACAGACGAGAGGGTTTTTGGGGGATTCTGTCACTCGATTGTGCTGAAAGTTTGGGCTTCCACTGATGCTTCAATCGCCAAGTTTCTACTCGAGGTAAAGTATGGAGTCTATATGAAGAAATCCATTTCAAACTGGGCTCGTGGAAAACTGGGCTCGTACACGTCTCTCGCACATGTTTTGGTCTGCGTACCTCTCTGGAGCAGGGAGAGCGTTGTGCATTTATCCAAAAAGTGGTGGGGGCAGTTCTGTCGTAACATTTGGGGAAATCCTTCTATATACCTGCTTTGCTTCAGTTCACAGCATCGAATCAAAATACTGCGGTCGGTACCTGTACTGTCCGGCCGGCCTGGCAGAGGGAGCTCTCCAGGCCCCTGCAGCTGCTCTCCAGTCGGGACGAGGTCTGGCTCTGCACCTCCAGCTCCGAACACACTCTCTGCAGCTGCACCAGCACCTGAGCAACACACACATCCAGGACATCGTTGGTCTGAGGTGTGCGACAAAGTAGAAATGAGAAATCTTCCACAGACCGACTTTGAAATAACTCAATTGACACATTCAGGGACGGATTTGGATTGATGTATCTACTATGTTGTTATTAAGATCCATCCACGCTAATACTAAACTTCTCTGGCAAAACCTTAATCCTAATCCTAACATACCTCCGCTTTTTCGGTCTGAAGGACTGTGAGCTGCCTGTTCTCAAGGTTCTTTATCAATCCAGACTCTTAACACTAGGAGCGCCCCTAGCGGTCAACTGACCGTCACTCACTTTATTATGCTAATTAGTGTATTCAAAACAAAACGCCAGAAGTTGAAATTTTATGACTTTTACTGGGTACTTGTGGTTTATATTTTGGTGTGTTTTGGTTTTGGAAAAAGTAAAGAAAACAAGATTTACACGCATTTTTAACTTTTCTAAACCACAGCCCTTTCTGCTGCCCCATAGAGATACATGGCGCAGGGGCGACTGTTGTCATAGTAACCTTTCCCGGGGGTTTTTCGCGCCTTATAAAAATGTATCAATATGTTGTCATTAGACTCTAAAGGGACTTTTTTATTATTATTTGGGAGAGAGAGGAGTACAAAATGAATAGAGCTGCAAGTACACGGTATGAAGCCCTGACAGTGCTTCAAAACATTGAATGAGAACAGTCTGACGGAGGTGAGATGTCACATTTTGAGGCAGAAAGTGACAGCGGGGAGAACACCTATAATATTCTAAATCTGAACGTAAACCCATAGTGCATTCACGGCACAGACAGCAGTGTTGTAACAAGTCCAGAAGCAATAACTCACATGACCCTCGTAATGCCAGCCATACGCAGTGTCTGTGTGCGCGCTGTCGCTCCATTCTGCCTTTTCATTCATCATCAATTACATTATTATATTTATACATACAAGAAGGCAATAAAGCAGAATACAATATCGCAATAAAATAGAACAATTAGATGAACTATCAAGGCAGAGTGCAGATCAGAGTGCTCGTCACCCGCGGACACTGCAGGAGGAGAGCGACTGTGGCAGAGGCGGCCCTCATATATCAATAAGGATATAATTCTGATTTCATCCAGATAACACTGTGTGTTATTCTGCACAGCGCGCACTGCAAGGCAATGATTATAATTTTGTTTCTGAGCATAAAGAGCACTGCTTGTCTCAAATAAATACAAATATATATATATGCATATATTTGTCTTTCTAACGTGTCCCGTGTAAAATTGAAGATTTTAAATTGACGATGGTAGCCATAGCTGATGATCTTGTGTCAATACGAATACTATTATTATTATCTAGATAATATTTCCCACGGTGATTTCGGCCTCTAAAGAGAAAACAGTCTGGAGATGACGTAAGAAGTAGACGCATATAGCAGCGCGAAGACGTTATGGTCCCGTGCTTTTCTAAACTATAATTTATATTGTTTGAATTTACATATTGTTACTGAGTCAAATATAACATATAGTGACCAACCTTTTAGGTGTTTGCAAAGTTACAAAAATAAATCTAGCCAGAAAAGTCATCGTAATTTTGATGGATCAGTACACGCACAATGTGTCGTCTTAGTCTTTTATTTCGGCTAGAATTACAATTACTTAGCATATTTAGACAAATAATTTACACAGTTTCATTATGATCACGATTCCTTTGCAACATCAAGTTCTGGTTTAGTGAACAATCAATTTGGCAAAAGGCTGTATCAGCGCAAAATACATAGCGGTCAACTGACCGCAGGGGGCGGTGCAAGGTATGTTTAGAGCACGGCGGTCCTAGTGTTAAACCCAGCTATCAGAATAATCTATGACTCTTCTGTCCCCTGGAAAAGCCATGTTCCAGCTTCTTCCCTCTGGCAGAAGAACCTGGTCGCTGAGAGGCCTGACTGCTACAGATGCTAACATGCTATCAACTTCTTTCCACAAGCTGTTATCGGTCTGAAAGAAGAATTTAATGATCTTGCGCTCGTGTTGAAGCTGTTTTTGCTGATATATTTCACAGTGACAATTGTTCATTTCATTTCATGTATTTGTCTGGTGCACACTGGGTACTTCTGCACACGTATTCCAATGTGGTTTTTCTGCAAATGGCAAATCAAGTGAATCTGAAACTGTACACTATGACCATGAGCCCCATTTCCACTGACCTAATTTGGCCCAACTCGTCTCTACTCTACTCTACCTGGTTGCGTTTCCATCACGTTTTAGTATCTGGTATCGTATCCTAGCAACCTACCCACAACACACCAGGGTTCTCGGGAAAACTCCTTGCAAACCATGGCTTCCAGCTGCACTCTGGCCAATCACTGTCAATGTATTATTACCAGTTAGGTGCCAGTTTAGTACCCGTTTAGTACCAGTTTAGTACTAGTTTAGTACCCGTTTAGTACCAGTTTAGCGCTAGTTTAATACCAGTTTAGTACAAATTTAGGACCGGTTTAGTGCCAGTTAAGTACCAGTTTAGTGCCAGTTTAGTACCAGTTTAGCACTAGTTTAATACCAGTTTAGTACAAATTTAGTGCCGGTTTAGTGCCAGTTAAGTACCAGTTTCGTACCAGTTATGTACCAGTTATGTACCAGTTATGTACCAGTTTAGTGCCAGTTAAGTACCAGTTATGTACCAGTTTAGTACCAGTTTAGTACCAGTTTAGTGCCAGTTAAGCACCAGTTATGTACCAGTTTAGTGCCAGTTAAGTACCAGTTATGTACCAGTTTAGTACCAGTTTAGTACCAGTTTAGTGCCAGTTAAGCACCAGTTATGTACCAGTTTAGTGCCAGTTAAGTACCAGTTTAGTACCAGTTATGTACCAGTTATGTACCAGTTTAGTACCAGTTATGTACCAGTTATGTACCAGTTTAGTGCCAGTTTAGCGCCAGTTTAATACCAGTTTAGTACGAATTTAAGACCGGTTTAGTGCCAGTTAAGTACCAGTTTAGTGCCAGTTTAGTACCAGTTTAGTACCAGTTTAGTACCAGTTTAGTACCAGTTATGTACCAGTTTAGTGCCAGTTTAGTACCAGTTATGTACCAGTTATGTACCAGTTTAGTGCCAGTTTAGCGCTAGTTTAATACCAGTTTAGTACGAATTTAAGACCGGTTTAGTGCCAGTTAAGTACCAGTTTAGTACCAGTTTAGTACCAGTTGAGTACCAGTTTAGTACCGCTTCCCTATAGTACCTGCTCCTGGTTGAGTCTGTGGTTGAGCTCGGCTTCGTGCTGCTGTCGCTCCTGCTCGACGCTGGTTTCCAGAGTCTGAGGAACACAAATGAAGTTAAATATAATTTAAAATGAAAACGATGGTGTAACTGACAAGGAAAAACAACTATTGCATGGTCAAAAGAGAGAGATCAGGGACAGAGAAACGAGAGAGACCTGAGCGAGACCTGAGAGAGACCTGAGAGAGACCTGAGAGAGACCTGAGAGTGACCGGAGAGAGACCAGAGAGAGACCAGAGAGAGACCAGAGAGAGACCAGAGAGAGACCAGAGAGAGACCAGAGAGGGGCGAGAGAGAGAAAAGAGAGAGACCAGAGAGAGACCAGAGAGAGACCTGAGAGTGACCGGAGAGAGACCAGAGAGAGACCAGAGAGAGACCAGAGAGAGACCAGAGAGAGACCAGAGAGAGACCAGAGAGGGGCGAGAGAGAGAAAAGAGAGAGACCAGAGAGAGACCAGAGAGGGGCGAGAGAGAAAGGCCAGAGAGTCTTCCCCTGTGCGTGTGTATGTGTGTGTAGTCTCTGACCTGTGTGTGTGTGTGTGTAGCCTCTGACCTGTGTGTGTGTGTGTGTGTACGTGTGTGTCTCTGACCTGTGTGTGTGTGTGTGTATGTGTGTGTCTGACCTGTGTGTGTGTGTGTGTATGTGTGTGTCTCTGACCTGTGTGTGTGTGTGTGTGTGTGTCTGTGTGTGTCTCTGACCTGTGTGTGTGTGCGTATGTGTGTAGTCTCTGACCTGTACGGTGCCGAGGGCGTTCCTTAGCTGGCCCTCGCAGTCGCTCAGTCGGCCCCTGAGCTCTGCCAGCCTCAGCCGGAGCCGCTCCTCTGTCTCCTGCTCCAGTGTGAGCTCACGTTCCCAGAGCTGCTCCTGCTCCAGCTCCACAGAGGTGCTCCTCAGAGTCTGCTCCAGGAGACACAGCTCCTCCTCCAGGCTCTCCCTCTGCAGGACACACACCTGAGTCTGGGTTGCGCACCAAAACACAAACATCCAACCGACCATAGCCTTCTGAGCATAGACCGTATACAGATGGACAATGCTAACCTGCTAGCTTGATGAAGCCAGAAAGCAAAATTCTCAGTTTTCGCTCTGGCTTCTTTTGACTAAACTCCTCTAGTTCAGTAACTGTTTGTGGGCTTAACAAATTGATAGTTTATCACTCTCTGATGCTTATACTGCGGTATTGAAATTGTAAATCCAGAAATGAAACATTTAAAGATAACTCCAGCTTGCCTTAGTCAGCACATCTGTTCTCTCTCTGGTCTATCTCTCTCTAGTCTCTCTCTGGTCTCTTTCTGGTCTCTCTCTGGTGTCTCTCTGGTCTCTTTCTCTCTAGTCTTTCTAGTCTCTTTCTCTGGTTTTCTCTGGTCTCCCTCTGGTCAACTTTCTGTGTCTCTCTTGCTCTAATCTCTCTCTGGTCTCTCTCTGGTCTCTTTCTCTCTGGTCTCTTTCTCTCTGGTCTTTCTAGTCTCTCTCTCTGGTTTTCTCTGGTCCTCTCTCTGGTCTTCTTTCTGTTTCTGTCTCTCTCTAGTATTTCTCTGGTCTCTTTCTCAGGTCTCTCTAGTCACTCTCTGGTCTTTCTCAGGTCCCTCTTTGTTCTCACTCTGGTCTCTCACTGGTCTCTCTCTTTGGTCTCTCTAGTCCCTCTGGCTTTTCTCTGGTCTCTCTTTGGTCTCTTACTGGTTTCTCTCTCTGGTCTCTCTCTCTTGCTACTGTATGTATGTGTGTGTGTGTGACAGATGAGAGGCGCGTCCTGACCTGTTGTGTGTACGCGACGGTCTCCTCCCAGTCCTGCAGCTCCCCTTCACACTGCTCCAGCTGGTTCTCTAGGACCTGTAGACGCTCCCTCTGCCTCTGCACCAGCCCGCTCAGGTCTCGACAGGGGCTCCCAGGGGCCGACGAGACCCCACTGAGAGACCCCAGGACCCGGGTCAGGCTCAACTTCACCCCGGTCTGCTGCTGCTGCTGCTGCTGGGGGGCTACAACACAGGTACCATTGTCTGTTTTGATTTCTTCTTTCATAATAGTAAGAGTAACAACAACAACAATAATAATAATAACTATTTAAATTATAATAATAATAATATATCCATTTGTAAGCCCTATTAAGAACAATGGGTCTCATTCACGAACCGTACTTAAGAACAAATTTGTGCGTAAATCCTACTTACGAAAATTTTACGAAGATTGTGGCATTCATGAAATTTTCTCGTAACCAGAATTTCTCTTGGGTACGTACAAATCCTACGAGTGCTCCTGAACACATTCAGTGCCGACATGTTCGCACGCTGGTGTTTTGAAGTTCAATAAAACACAACATTACAGTGATATGTCCGTCATATTGATGTATGTATTTATTTATTTCATTGTTAATGGTAATTTAGCCTATTTTTTAATTCATTTTGAAATGAAATGTGCCAACGCTTTATCAAATACATTGGAAATCTTGCCGTGTATTAGTGACCCCATCCCATTTATAGGGGGCATTTCTTTATCCACGGGCCACAGAACAACGGCATATATACTGCTGCTGCAGGAGGCCGCGGGGTCCGCGCTGAGTCTCCGCGCTGGTCTCTCCCATGGATCTATACGGGTCTGCACTGGTCTCTCCAGTCTATGGTCTACGCGGTCTCTCTTCGGTCCGCGCTGGTCTCTGCGCACCGGTCTCTCCAGTCAGGTCACTACAGTCTATGCGGTCTCTGTGTGCTGGTCACTCCAGTCTCTCCTCGGGTCTGCATTGGTCTCAGCACTGGTCCGCACTGGATCTCCTCCCAGGGTCCAAAATATTTTGAGATTAATCTCAAAACATTTTGAGATTCATTTTTAAATTAATACATAATATATTTTTAAATTAAGCTCATAACATTTTGAGATTAATTTCATAACATTTTGAGATTAATCTCATCATATTTTTGGATTAATCTAATAATTTTGCTAGTTCGACTTTATAGTCATAATATTTCGACTTTTAAGTCAACATTTTATAACTTTATTCTCAGTTTGGCGGAAAAAAGGGTGACTCTTTTGCTCCGTGTAACTCTTTGCTTTAGCATCTTGCTGTTTCCTCTGGCGTCTGCACACGGCCCTGCAGTCCCTTTTTTGGGCATTAATGGGCGGTTACCTATGCTAAGTACCTATGCTAATGAAGCACGCTCTACTTACGAGGAGTTGGCATTCATCAATCTGAGAGAACAGCTGCGAACAATTCAGAGGCTTACAAGTGGGTTGATGAATCCCATGTAGGATCTTTTTAGAAATCTACTTAAGAACGACTTAAGAAATTTAAGAAGTTTCTTACGAAGTTATTTGTGAATGAGGCAAGAAAGACGTGCTCACAGAAAGAGACCACAGAGAGGGACCAGAGAGGGACCAGAGAGAGACCAGAGAGTGACCAGAGAAAGACCAGAGAGGGACCAGAGAGAGACCAGAGAGGGACCAGAGAGAGACCAGAGAGAGACCAGAAAAAGACCAGAGAGAGACCAGAAAAAGACCAGAGAGAGACCAAAGACATACTAGAGAGAGACCAGAGAGAGAGACCAAAGACAGTCCAGAGACAGACTAGAGAGAGACCAGAGAGAGAGACCAAAGACAGTCCAGAGACAGACTAGAGAGAGACCAGAGAGTGACCAGAGACAGACCAGAGACAGACCAGAGAGAGACCAGAGAGAGAGACCAGAGAGAGAGAGAAATCCAGAGAAGTGGGCGGGGACAGGTGGTAGGTGAAACTCTGAGGCCTCAAACACTGAATTACTCAAAGCGTGAAGTACCTTGAGAGTCTCTGTTCCGGCTGAAGATCTCCCGCAGACCCCTGGCCCCCCCGCTGAACGTCAGAGACTTGCGTTTGGGTTCCTTGCGCCTTAGCGAGCGCTCAATGCCGAAGGGGCGGAGTTTGGCGAGCGGCGGAAGGCTCTGGCGATAGAAGCCTCTCTCTGGAACCCTGCCACATTTCATTACAGGTGAAGACGGTTTCAAAACTACACCCAGGTCACACCAGGGACGATACTTTGGCAGCGTAACGAGCCGTGGAGCCGTGTTTGGGTGAGTGAGGCTCTCGCACTCAGACTCTGGGCTTTTGTACGCACTGCTCTGATCCTTATATTAAATATGTTTGAAATATGTTTGCTCCACGTGGACGAGGAACTTGAAGTAGTCCAACATGAGCTCTTTCTGTATCCTCTCTCTGGTCTCTTGTTGGTCTTTCTCTGGTCTCTCTCTGGTCAATCTGGTTGCTCTCTGGTCTCTCTCTCTGGTCTCTCTCTCTGGTCTCTCTCTCTGGTCTCTCTCTCTGGTCTCATTTATGGTCTCTCTTTGGTCTCTCTTTGGTCTCTCTCTGGTCTCTCTCTGGTCTCTCTCTGGTCTCTCTCTGGTCTCTCTCTCTGTTTACTCTCTGGTCTCTCTGGTCTCTCTTTCTAGTCTCTCTCGCTGGTTTGAACAAAAGCTAGCTAGAGTAAATCCTTATATCCTTATATGGGCATTTGTTCTGGTGGCAATAACAGGGGCAGACGTGCTGCTAAAACGGTTGCTAAGATACGCTGAAGTTTCCCGCTGAATGAAGGCATCTGATTGGTTAATCCTTACATGGTTCACATCTGGATTTACAAAGACCATGTAAACACCAGGATTACACAGAGCGCTAAATAAACCATTAACGTCCTAGTTCTGTGGTGTGTATGCGACATCACAAGTGTAGTCCCTGGTCCTCACCTGGTCGTGTCCGAGGCTGGTCTCTCGCTCACAGACGGCCCGGTGCGCTGCAAGATCAGCTGGACGTCGCTGGCGTAGTGGCCCCACTTGTTCAGGGACACGACGGGGAACTCCTGAGGGGACAGCGGCCGCTCCGTGTCCCGCCATCGCTCGATCAGCGTGTAGCGCCCGGTCCGCCCTGAGACAGGACAACAATGGTTTCTCTCACTGGTCTCTCACTCTGCAGTCTCTCTCTGGTCTCTTCTTTAGTCTCTCTCTGGTCTCTCCATGGTGTCTCTCTGCTCTCCCTACTGTCTCTTTTTTGTTATTTCTGGTCTCTCTCTGGTCTTTCTCTTTGGTCCCTCTCTGGTCTCACTCTGGTTTTTCTCTTTGGTGTCCTTCTCTATGGTCTCTCTCTCTGTCATCACTCTGGTCTCTGCATGTTGTCTCTCCTTTCTCTCTCTCTCTGTTCTCTCTCTTTAGTCTCCCTCTCTGGTGTCTCTGTTATTTATCTTGTCTCTCCATGGTCTCTCTCTGGTGTCTCTCTATTCACTTTCATGTCTCACTCTGGTCCCTCTCTGGTCTCTCTCTGGTCTCTCTCTTTGGTCTCCCTCTCTGGTCTATACTGCATCTAGTCTAGTCTCTCTCTCTGTTATCTATCTTGTCTCTCAATGGTCTCTCTCTGGTGTCTCTGGGTTCTCTCTCCTGTTACCCTCTCTCTCTGGTCTGTCTTTAGTCTACCTCTCTTATCTCTCTGGTCTCTCCATGGTCTCTCTCTGGTGTCTCTCTATTCTCTCTCTTGTCTCTCTGTGTTCTCTCTCCCTTCTCTTTGTGTTCTCTCTCTCTCTCTCTGGTCTCTCTATCATCTACGGTCTCATTATTTTCTCATAAAGATGTTTACAAGTGACATGACGTAACATATATTCAACCATGCAAAATACTTTTATCTGCCGTTTCAATCCGCCACAGAAAACCCAAAAGGATCGACCTCTGATACATGCTTCACTTTATGCATTGTACTATAAATATTTCACTTTCCAAAACATGAAAAGAGGACATTTCTTCTCATCTCTGCTTCAAACACCGACTGAACTTGACTTGGTCTCTAAAACATTATTCTCTCTGTCTTCTCCCACCTCCTCAGCAGTGGGAGCAACACAAAAGCAGTGTGTGTGTGTGTGTGCGTGTGCGTGCGTTTGTGTGTGTGTGTGCAGGGCCTGTCCGCGCACGATAAGGGGAGCTCGGGATAGAGCCCAACACGGAGCAGTGACAGAGGGCCTTTGTCTGAAGTGGGTCTGCACAATGGACAGCTATTACTCCTGTTTTATAGCTCCATGTCAAAGAGGCCCTGTTGAATCATGGGATATGAAGCTGCCACTGTAGTGTTTTAGCACTTTACCAGAGACGATGAGGAGGCTTTCAAATCTCGGCGTAGACTTTGCCATCAGAAATATATGAAGGAGAGGCACTTGTATAACACAGTTCACAAGGAAACTCAAAGAAAACAAGGCTAGAAACTGTAAAATCAGAAATAATCACAGTTTGTTAAAAATAGTTAAAATATAACTCCTCTGTTGTCTGCAACTAAACGGAACCGTTTTTAACCTGGATTTGAACATTGTCAGTGTAGAAGCTTGTCTCACATTTTCAGGAAAACTGTTGGAGATTTTAGAAGCAAAAATCTGAAATGCCAGTCCCTGTGCTCCTCAGAGTCCCAGCAGGAGGCAAGTCCCTGTGCTCCTCAGAGTCCCAGCAGGAGGCCAGTCCCTGTGCTCCTCAGAGTCCCAGCAGGAGGCAAGTCCCTGTGCTCCTCAGAGTCCCAGCAGGAGGCCAGTCCCTGTGCTCCTCAGAGTCCCAGCAGGAGGCCAGTCCCTGTGCTCCTCAGAGTCCCAGCAGGAGGCCAGTCCCTGTGCTCCTCAGAGTCCCAGCAGGAGGCCAGTCCCTGTGCTCCTCAGAGTCCCAGCAGGAGGCCAGTCCCTGTGCTCCTCAGAGTCCCAGCAGAGGTCAGAGCACAAAAGGGTGGTAATAATTTCTTACCAAATAATTAATCTAAATGTTGTATATATACAGTATTTATATTAATTCATATATAATTATATTAATAATCAAGTTTTTGTTTACTCCTCTTCCTCCTAGGTAAGGCAAGTTTTTTTGTTAAGCACAATTCATACACAAGGCAACTCTAAGTGCTGATCAGTATGAGATCACACAAGACATTCATATCATAAATAACGAGTGAAGATAAAATCCCTCAGTGTTATCAGAGACCAACAGAACTGTTTTAACCTGGATTAGAACATTGTCAGAGAAGAAGCCTGTCTCACATTTTCAGACAGACTTTTCCAGATTTTAGAAGGAAATGCGGCCTCCCCATGTTTAATTCTGACTCTGAGCACCAGCAGGAGGCGCCGTCCCCTCCAAACACCATTTTGACCTGTTTTGATGTTGATGTATATCTGTTTTCTTGTAGTTTGAGTAGTAGTAGTAGTAGTTCACTTACTTACCAACTGAGCTTTATTTTTAACATGTATTTGTATGTATTTTAGGCTGTTTGCTTGTATGTATTTGACCTTTCGTGCCTGTGAAGTACTTTGAGGCAGCTGGTGTGGTCGTAAATGTGCCATACAAATACAGCTGACTATACTATGATTGACATTTATGGCTACACAAGAATATATGGAATAGATTGTGAACTCTCAGCCTCTTCAGTTTCCCTGATTAAAGCCAGAGCTCAGAAATCTCTCCTCTGCAAAAGAACAACAGGTCAATAAGTCCGCAGCATGACTCATCCTCTTCAACGCCAGCCCAGATCCGCCGAGTGTCCTCAAAACACTTCTCGTTCATCTGACCACAGCCGTACAGCAGCCGGCAACAAACCAAGCCGCTGTTTTGTTTGATTAAAGCTGGGATACATAACTTTTTTTGTTCATAAATAACACATGTTGCTTGTTCTTCATCTCTGGTCCTGAGCTTTGGGTAAGACCGAAAGGATGAGATCGCGGATACAGGCGGATACAAATGAGTCTCAACAAGTGACAAGACGCTCCCTTAGAGATGGGGAGAGGAGCTCAGGCACACGGGAGGAGCTCGGAGTAGAGCCTCTGCTTCTCCACATCGAGTGGAGCCAGTTGAAGAGGCTTGACGTCTGTCTGGAGGCCTCCCGGACGCCTCTCTGGGGAGGTGTTCAGTGCACGTCCCACCAGGAGGAGACCAGGAGGAGACAGGGACAGGGGGAGGGACTGTGTCTCTCAGCTGGTCTGGGAACGACCCCAGGATTCCTCCAGATGAGCTGGAGTAAATGCGTGTGGGGAGGGAAGTCTGGGCGTCTCTGCTCAGACTGCTGCCTCTTGGACCGGGCAACAGATAAAGCAGAGGAAAATGTATGGATGTTTGTACCAACAGAAAGTCAAGTAAAATAATGCATCTTTTTGGCCCTTTGAGTTGCCTTGTGTATGAATTGTGCCATACAGTTAAACTTGTCTACCCTGGCCTTAGTTATAGGTTAAATACTGAAAGCTGATTGGCTGAGGGACGGTGGTCCGCTCTTTTAACTATTCTGTCTGAAAAATCTGATCCAAAAACGTGACTGAGGCCGAACGCAAAGTACATGTGAAAACTAGTAATGGAAGAAAACTGTGTTGTTAGCGAGGAACTAGCTACATGACCTTTGATGCTGTGCAGGGCAGGTACTGGTTAGTACTGTGATGGGAGACCTCTGGGACGACCAGGTCCCACGGTGGAGCTGCTGCAGCTGCACTGTGGTTGTGGCCTTAGGCAAGACACTTCACCCAGATTAGAATGAGTCTGGTGTGCGCCAACGGTTGGTGGTGGTCCAAGGGGTCGATGGCACTGCCCCAGGGCAGCTGTGGCTAGTTTGAGTGAATGAATAATGGGGAGCATCAAAGTCTCTGACCAACACCATCCAGTCATTCACTTTACATTCAAACCTATTTTATATGTTTTAGTGGTAGGGGAAACCGGAGCACCCGGTGGAAACCGGAGAACCCGGACACGGGGAGAACTGGAGGTGGAATTGATTCGCTGAATCCCTCAAACTTGGGAATATCCTCCTATAAACCTGTAACTCTTGTTGTCAGCAGTAGCAGATCCAGAGCAGCAGAGGGAGCACTCACCGATGGCCTGAGCCAGAGCGATGACCACGTCCTGACACGTGGTGAACTCGGTGACGCCGCAGACGATGCGCTGCACCCCGTCCACCCACACCTTCAGCTCCATGGCCTTCATCCAGACACCCTCATGCTACGGCGGCCACCAGGAGACACTCTGGAGACACGGGGTCCAGCCGGCCCATCCTGTGTGAGAGGTCAGAGGTCAGAACAGAGCGGTCTGGTCTGGGACTGTGGTGGAGCAGAAAGCAGATTAGTCAGGGCGTTTTAGACAACTTTGAGTTGCATAAATGTTGGTAAGATTAAAAAGCCAAGTATTCCAGGTATTCAGAACACAGCGCAAGAAAGACATTACTTTTTGCACCCCCTCTCTGCCTGGGAGCTGTGTTGGTGCTGGATCTACAGCTCAGTCCTAGATCTACAGCCTCAGTCCTAGATCTACAGCTTCGGTCCTTGATCTACAGCTTCGGTCCTGGATCTACAGTCTATCTGTGGGCCTTCCTGAGGTTTATTACATTTTTTTTTGAAGGTTCCTTACCAATGCAGGAAGTTGGTCTCTCTGGTCTCTCTCTCTCTCTCTGGCCACTCTCTGATCCCTCTCTGTTCTCTCTATGGTCTCTCTCTCAGATCTACAGTATCTCTGGTCTCTCTCTGGTCTTTTTGTGGCCTCTTTCTCAAATCTATCTCCGGTCTCTCTTTGGTCTCTTTCTAGTCTCTCTCTGGTCTCTCTCTGATCAGTGCCTGCAGAACAAGAGTCTTTTTAAAGTGCTGACAGTAAGACTACAGTGCTCTGATCATTACGTCGCTGGCAAGGCCACCGCAGAAAGCCCACGCAACAGTGCACACAGAAGGGGAGGGGCTGATGGAGGGAGTGCGATTTATTTATTTATCACAGAGAGCCCCTTCATGAACCAAGCAGTGACTCAGAGGGCTCTTTCTTACAGGTACATGCACAAGATATTATGTTTCTAAAAGGAAAAGATGCATTTTGTGGTCTGAATGGGGTTTTATGGCACAAATACCCTGGTCTTACCACACCATCATACTCCTTTCCTTTCGTACTAAGGTCTGGATTTGCTCCATTGACTTCGTTAACAGGTGGGAGGGGTTAACTCAGATTGCAGATTGAAACGATTGGATCTGAGTTTGCCGTGACATATGTAATGAGCCCGAGTGAGTGAGTATTTAGCCTAGCTTTAGCCCGCTCCTTTTCCACTAACAAAGCTGTGGGGAGTAGAGCCACAACATCTTTGCCAGCAATGAAACTTGCTAAACGTTCCTCTTGCTCCAGTTTCAATTTCTTGATATTTGGAGCCGAACCAGAACGGATTACTTTACTATTGCATTCCCAGCCATTGACAAACTACAACCAGCAACTTTGGCGCAAACTTTTGACGTCACCGACACCTCCCTACAACACAGGTAGATCCAGGACTGAGGCTGTAGACCCAGGACTGAGGCTGTGATCCAGGACTGAGGCTGTAGACCCAGGACTGAGGCTGTAGATCCAGGACTGAGGCTGTAGACCCAGGACTGAGGCTGTAGATCCAGGACTGAGGCTGTAGATCCAGGAATGAGGCTGTAGATCCAGGACTGAGGCTGTGATCCAGGACTGAGGCTGTAGACCCAGGACTGAGGCTGTAGATCCAGGACTGAGGCTGTAGATCCAGGACTGAGGCTGTAGATCCAGGACTGAGGCTGTAGATCCAGGACTGAGGCTGTGATCCAGGACTGAGGCTGTAGATCCAGGACTGAGGCTGTGATCCAGGACTGAGGCTGTAGACCAGGCATGTCAAAGTCAAATACATCAGAGGGCCAAAAAAAAATGTTTGCCACGTGCCGAGGGCCGGACTGGTTCAATGTTTCTCAACATCCAGAGGCAGTGCCGGTGACACCTGCTGGCTCGATAAAATATGCTCTAAAGCCAATCCTCATACTGTACAGATTAGATGTAATAGACATCTGAGAACATGAAAATAGTAAAAAAAAAAAAAGCTCAAACTTGGTGAAATGTAAAAGAGCTGTCTGGACCTCTTTTCGGGGCATTTTTTGATTAAATCTGCAGAATGGATTATACTTTGGGAAATACAAGTGGATATTCTTCTTCAATGAACAGTTACGGAGAGAAAGAGACTAAGCAAGGATGGGGAACGTCTAATTTGTTGGAGCAACAGAAGACGAAAGGTAAAAAACGAATACAGACGTGATTTATTTTGTGCCCATATTATGCGTTATATCTTTTTAACGCAAAGTCTGATATCGTTTACACTTACATATAAATATAGCTGAGAAAATAAGCTTTAAAATGATATATAGCTTGTGGCTTATGAAGTTCAAAATACATCTGCTATTGCCAGCAGATGTATTTTTTTCCTCGTTTGCTCCCGCCGGCGGGGGCTAGCGAGCTTAAGAGGTCAACACATTGCCTCAATGGCAGGCAATGTCCCGGGGGCCATAGATAATTCATTCGCGGGCCGGATTTGGCCCGCGGGCCTTGACTTTGACACATGTGCTGTAGACCCAGGACTTTAGGCTGTAGATCCAGGACTGAGGCTGTAGACCCAGGACTGAGGCTGTGATCCAGGACTTTATAGGCTGTAGATCCAGGACTGAGGTGAAATGATGTCACACATAACTGCATAATTACTATCCCTGTTTATCTTGGATTCCATGGCTCCAATTCTCGTTCCTTTGACCCAAACGAACGCTTCCCAAAGACATGGAAATATCTCTCTCTCTGTACAGGTATCCAGATCCTCCTCACTCCCTCACTCACTTGCATGCTCGTCCTGGTCTCTGGAGGGTGTCGACCATATGCCAGCGGCTGAAAACACGAATCAAAGGATGAAGGCGGGACCAGATGTTCACATGTGTCGGCTCGTGTACTTTTTCTGTGCTCCAACAGAAAACTGGACACGGTTCTGAACTTTTACAACATCACAGCCGCAATTTGGAAGCGGAAAAGTCCTGCACCAACTCCCAACGATACAGAGCGGACACGGAGGCTCAAGCTGAATCATTTAGAAATACAACTTTACCAGGAATCCAATCAAATCTAAATCATTCAAATGTTGTCAGTTTGAGTCTCTTGCTCTTTTTAATGTCTTGTCAGTCATCTAGAGATACTTGTTCATGATGTTTTCTGGTCTCTCTCTGGTCTCTCTCTGGTCTCTCTCTGGTCTCTCTCTGGTCTCTCTCTGGTCTCTCTCTGGTCTCTCTCTGGTCTCTCTCTGGTCCCTCTCTGGTCCCTCTCTGGTCCCTCTCTGGTCCCTCTCTGGTCCCTCTCTGGTCTCTCTCTGCTCACTCGCTCTGATCTCTCTTTCTAGTAATAATCAAACAATTTAAATATGAAGGGCCAACAAACTTGTTCTATCTTTCTTTTAGGACGATCATCCAGTCTAAACTCACCTCTGCTTCTGTCATTTGTTTTGGCCCCCAACCCTTCTACCCTCCTCCCACCCCCTCTCCTTCCCCCCTACCCCCCCTTACCCAGCCCCCTGTTGTCTCTGACTGCACACAACACTGCACAATGTTGGGAGCAGAGCAGGAGGTCGCGACCGGAACAAGCCAAAATCAGGGTCTTCAGCATTTGACCCATCCTTTAACGCCAATCAGGCCTCTGTCAGGATCAGGGTTGCCGTGGTAACAGATGTTATTGAAGGAACCAGAGCAACCGCCCAGGGTCGGAACCAGGGAAAAGGGGACGCAACCAGGAGAGACAAAAGTACTGATGTGTAAAAAAGACTGGGAAAACTGTTAGACACACCCAGAACCATGTGACGTACACCCAGAACCATGTGACATACACCCAGACCCATGTGACATACACCCAGAACCATGTGACATACACCCAGACCCATGTGACATACACCCAGAACCATGTGACATACACCCAGAACCATGTGACATACACCCAGAACCATGTGACATACACCCAGAACCATGTGACATACACCCAGACCCATGTGACATACACCCAGAACCATGTGACATACACCCAGACCCATGTGACATACACCCAGAACCATGTGACATACACCCAGAACCATGTGACATACACCCAGAACCATGTGACATACACCCAGAACCATGTGACATACACCCAGAACCATGTGACATACACCCAGACCCATGTGACATACACCCAGAACCATGTGACATACACCCAGAACCATGTGACATACACCCAGAACCATGTGACATACACCCAGAACCATGTGACATACACCCAGAACCATGTGACATACACCCAGACCCATGTGAAATACACCCAGAACCATGTGACATACACCCAGAACCATGTGACATACACCCAGAACCATGTGACATACACCCAGAACCATGTGGCATACACCCAGAACCATGTGACATACACCCAGAACCATGTGACATACACCCAGAACCATGTGACATACACCCAGAACCATGTGACATACACCCAGAACCATGTGACGTACACCCAGAACCATGTGACATACACCCAGACCCATGTGACATACACCCAGACCCATGTGACATACACCCAGAACCATGTGACATACACCCAGAACCATGTGACATACACCCAAAACCATGTGACATACACCCAGACCCAAGACCAGACTCAGAGACAAGGTTCGGACAAAAACATATATCCATGTACGAATGGCTCCTATTGGTCCATTTGTTTCTCTCTCTCTCTGGCCTCTCTATCTGACCTCTCTCTGGTCTCTTTGGTCTCTCTCTGCTCTCTCTCTAGTCCCTCTATCTGACTTCTCTCTGGTCTCTCTCTCTGGTCTCCTATGTGTTTGTTCCCTCTTGCATTTCCTGTTTGATTCTCTGATTTGTTGTTGGCGAATCCATGACTTTGTAAAGTCCTTCGAAACGACTTTTGTTGCTCCATGCTCAGTTACATTAAATCAAACTTTCAACGAGGAAACTTTGTGACACTGTTTTTCTACACAAAGTGTCACAAAGTAGAACGCGCCCTCCCTCCCCCTTTTTACAGCTCTGTGAGCCGGAGCAAACACCCCGTCACCACGGTAACCAGGCCCTGCATTGTCCCTCAAAGATGACTGCGTTGATCGGACACGGCAGGTCTGGCACAAAGCCAACTCCACAACGACACACAAGGATTCTTCTCTTTAAAGACTGTATACAGGCGGACAGTACAAACCCGCTAGCTCAATGAAGCCCAATGGGGAAGT